ATACCCTGGCGCATTCCCTGCCGGCTCTGCAAGGGTCCTCGGCCTCCGTCCATAATACACATCAGCCTCGGGTTGCCTGATGCCCCAGGCTCAGCGTTCATGTCCCCCTGCCCCCACCCTGTATTAGCCCTTCCCTGGCTCCTCAGTTAGACTCGCACAAGAACAATTTCTCCTCCACGCCCCAACTTCCTGGATGAGGAAGGGGGCAGAGAGGCGTCCGTGAGCCTGATTTCATCCCCTCACTCCCGCCCTAATTAGTATTCCAAGGAGAGATTTCTCTGCAGGCCCCAGGATTTGTTTGCCAGCCGGCCAGTTCCCTGTCTCCCCAGTTCAGAGTGAGTAATTCTGTCCCTCCTAGGCCCATTTAAAGGAGTGAATAATTAGTTACATTCAATTAGGCTCCTCGCTGCTACTGTGACTCCTGCCTGCCTCACTTGGGGGGACGGACTCGCTAATGAGACCGCACACATTGGACCCAGGGGAGCTGGCGTTAAACACCTTGGACCCCCACCCCTCCACTGGGTACTGAGAGCCGGGCTGGAACAGCAGGGCTAGAGATGTCCTTCCAACCGGAAAGAGCCATGTGGGGGAGAAAGAGAAGCAGGGTGGGGACACTGGAGGAGAAGGCAGGAGAACAGAGGAGGGCAGCATGGAAAGAGAGACAACAGACGACGGGAGAGGAGAGATGGGGAGATGGAGAAAGAGCAGCGGAGGAGGTCCCAGAGGGAGACTCGAGAGGGAAGGGAGGCCCTGCTGGGAAGGTCTAGCAGTATGGGAGTCCTCACATGAATCACGCTCCTGCCATATGATGGAATCTATGCAGCGATTAAGAAACACGCTGTCGATCTATATTTATTGGCATGGAGAGATGTCTGTTGTATACCGCTAAGCAAGGGAGGCTGCTTACAAAACAGTGCACATAATAATATCGCAAATTTTAGAAATATTTTTGGCACAGAGAGCAAGTCTGGAAGGACCGTCCCTTGTGATTGGCATGATGCAAGGCTTACAGGTGGTCTCATTCTGTCATCCCTGTTTATTGCTTGGAAGGAGGCGGGTGGTGCACACGTACGACTTTTATAATTAGCCAAAACAATAACACTTGCTCCAAAGAGAACAGGGGAGAGGCAGATGAGCTGGAGAGGAGAAAGGAGGTGGGTAAAGAGCAAGGCAGGAAGCAGGGAGGGAGGGGGCAGAGGGCCAGGCAGCCGCTGCAGCGCAGAGGGGGGGAGGGAGGAGCCCGCAGGGAAGTAGCTGGGCGCCAAGGCGCAGCAGGGTGTGCCAGTGGGCAGAGAGAAAGACAGAGAGCCCCAGAGACGGGGAGGGGCAGAGGAGCAGAGGGCATCCTGCCATCCCCCACCCAAAGGCAAATGCTGTTCACTGACTTCTCTGGCCCCTCTGGAAGCCCCCCACTTAGCAGTGCCGCTTATCCCAGGAGAGCCCCCTCCGCTTGACCTGCACCCTCAGACCTCCAGCATGACTGCTTGGGATCCTCTCTCTTCCTCTCCCCCCACACACCCGACTCTGTCTCTGTCTCTCTGTACAAATTAAAACCGCACCCCCCCCCAACCCCTTCAGGTAGGTTTGTAATTTTCTATGCCAGAATTACTCTAGGGAAAAGAGATCCTTGGGGGCAGAGTCTTTCATATTTTCTGCTGCTCAAGGAATGCACTGCAGGGCCTGCAGGCCGGGGAAAAATGGCATGTGTACCCACAGCTGGGCCAGGGGCCTCAGGCAGCGGTCACAGTGTGAGGACCACACCTGCATCCAGCTTGGCCCATTCCAAGGCAAGTCCCTCAGTCCCAAGCTCTAAGGTGTGTGTGCTGGGGGGCTGGTTGCGCTGCAGGAGGTGCAGCCTATGCCCCCAGGGTCTCTCTCCACCACCACCCGCCTAGCTGGGCACCCAAAGGAAGAGGCCAGCCTGCCCAGGACATTCTGTGTGATCTGGCCCAGATCCTCACAGGGCCTCGGTGTCCCCACACATAAAATCAAAGCATCAGACCACGAAATTCCCTGTCTTATGTTCCCAACCTTCTGCAACACGCTCTCCTGGGCACTCACTGAGTTTTTTAAATTGTGGAATTGATAGCATTTAAGTGTTCGGAGTTTTCACATAAAGATCTGGGTCCTCAGCAACAAGTAGCCCTCATTCCTTCGGGGTAGCCATCGGAAGGAGCCAAAAGACACTCCCCCTCCCTCTCAGCCTCTGAGCCAGTGCAAGTCTCCACCCCCCGCCCCCAGGACTCTAGAGGTCAGCTGCCCTCTTGGGGCCCGTCTCTTCTGAAAGGTCACACTAGCTTGATGTCCTGTTAGCATGTGGCTGTGTCCCCTACTCATGGATCAGGCAAAAGCTACAGGCTTCTGGGCGAACCTAGTTAGGCCCAAATCTCAGCTCTAACTCTTGGGATCTTATCAAGTCATTTGACCTCTGAGCCCCATCCATAAAATGGGTGTTATGAGAGACCACAGCATCTAGGGAGTTGTCATACGAATCAAGACAACGCATGTAGGGTTCTTAGTATTGTGCCCAGCACATACCGAGCGGCCAGTGCACACTTAGTCCTATCAATGTGTAGTCCTGTCTCGGGATTGAGGCACACAGCAAGGACACAGTCCATGTTTGTTAAAGTAGTTCACAAGGAGGCTGACAACCGGGGATGGATGGGGTCACACAGGAGAGGCTGCAGGGAGCCTAGGCAAAGGAAAAAAGGCCTCCCGAGTATGAATATGAGCCAGTGGAGCCAGTATCGGCAAAGCCAACTTCGCTCAGGGTTCCAGCCTCCATTGGAGTCTTTGGACGTGACATTGGCGCCACCTCCTGGTTGATGCATGCCTCACAGCCACCCCTCTATGGGCCAGGGTGGACCCTACACCTGGAGGAGGTTGGTCCGACGCACTATTTTCACAACTGACAGGATACTTAGAACACGCAGGGCACCAGCCCTTCATCACAAGTCTGGGGGCAAAAACATCAAACCGGAGAATAAGCTTCCCGAGGCTGCAGAAAAATTCCTAAGCAAACTGCATTAAAACCAAAACTTGTTAGAATTTGCTAGTGTATCATGTGGTTCTGATACTCACCATGAATAATCCTCTCTGCCCTCGGTCGCAGGCACGAAGCTATCTGCTGAGTCTCAGGGGAAACCTCTCCCAGGAGCACACTTGGGACAAGGGATGAATACAGGCTGGAGAGCTGAGCCCAGGAAGCGGTGGAAAAGTGACATTCGACGGGGGCAGAAACCACTGCAGACTCCCACAGTGTGTATGTGGGGTTCAGTCCCTACTGGGAGCCCAGGAAGAAGTGTAGGACACACCTCACACGTGTCCTCCCCAAAGGGAAGGATGCTTGAGACCCTGGTTGGCTGAGCGGATGTTCTCCAGAGCAGTAACTGTCCCAGCGACAGCTTTGCCCAGCCTACGTCGGCACCACATACGTCTTCAAGACTGGGGAGGCGGGAGCAAGCAACCCCAGGTGCCAGGAAGGCAGCCAGCGGCTGACACAGCAATGTAAATACCAAAGGCAGCGGTTCTCAAAGTGTGATTCCTGGACCAGAGGCAACAGTACCACCTAACTACTTGCTAGAAATGCACACTCCTGATCTCCATTCCTGACCTACTGAGTCAGAAAGACTGGGGGGGCATCCATCCCATAACAACCTCACAGGTGGTTCTGGTGCTCATCCATATCTGAGATCTCTGACCGAGGGCAGAGCACAAGAGGCAGCTGCAACATCTCTGTACACACTGCCAGCATCACCAGACAAGGCACCTGGGAGGCAAAGAGGTGACAGTGACTCACCCAAGATCACACAGGCAGTAGACGGCAGACTTTTTGGGTCTTTCCACCACACCACTACACAGAAGTCAGTACTGCTTGCATGTGGGCTCTAGGCAGGGGTTGAAGATTAGGTCCCAATGCCCCCCTTCCTGCCTCCTCCACTTTGCTCTGCTTTCTAAACCAAGGACCTGCACCTGGTGCCTCCAAATGGTTCCTGAAGCTCTTCCAGGAAGTCTGCCAAGCCAGGTGCCTCTCTCTTGGCTCCCAGCTGCCCTCAGAACCTGGGTCAGGGCAACCACTCTTCACCCCCACCTGCCAGCCCACAGGATGCGCTGCGGAGATCCAGAGTGGTGTCTTGCTGGGCAAGGTGGTGATGCCTGGATTAAAACTCCCCCCAGTCTCCGTGCCAGGGCCCTGCACAGCACTTTGCATTACTCTTCCTTCTCCTTGTCCTCCAGCCTCCCTCCCCCCACCCCCCGCTCCTACTCCATCTGCTGCTCCTCCTGGCTAGGCTCCCCCTCAGTTGGCACAGCAGGAAAAGAGAACAGGACGATTTATTTTTATCCTGAGATGCTGCTGGGAGTGGAAGGGGCACCATCTGACCGAGAAGCAGCAGCTCCCAGAGCAGTGAGGTCAAACGGCAGTGGAGACCCAGGATCTCCCTGGAAGGAGTGACAGACGTAGGTTCCAGAGAACAGGCAGATCTGGGAGAAGCTAAGACCAAGACTGGGAAGCTCTGAGCATGGCACCTCTGCACACTGCCGTGTGGTCACAGGCAAGTCACTTCGTCTCTCTGGGCCTGTATTTCCTCCTCTGTGAAAGAGGGAGGGATGCAGACCCCGCCTGCTCTGGAAGGCAGTCTGGTGAACATGAATCAAAGGCAGAGTGCCTTGCACACTTGCCATGAGTACACCATGGAAACTGATCCAGAGGGGAGCAGCCTGGGGCCATTCTTATCCTCAGAAAGCGCCCTAATTCCGGGAGCCTGACAGCAAGTTAGACAGCCAGTGTCACCAGCATGTCCAACCCTGTTTTTCTTTTTGCATGTTTGATGATCTTTTTTAATTACATAAGTATTATATGAATTCACTTTCCTTTGGGAAAAAAATGAAGCATTATGGGAAAGCCAAATGTCCCCCACCCAGACATCACCACTCTTCGAGTCGGGGTTTTCTGTATATCCTTCTAGAATCCTCAGTTTGCCTACATATATAACATGTTGTTTTTATACATATATCCACAATTCTTCTATATTTATATATCAATATATACACAGTATTGTATACACTGTTGCATTTTTTATATCTAGCGTGTATATATATTGTTTTGCAGTTTTCATCCCTATCCTCCCACAGTCTTTCTTCTCATGCGGCAGTGTTTTTGAGATCCTGTTGTATAAATGATTACAATCCTCTTTAGCCAGTCTCCTGTGGATGGGCAGTCAGGTGGCCGCCAGTTTTTCATGGCGACAGACAACGTTGCGGTCGGCATTGGTGTCTCTGCCTCCCTGGGCTCGTGGAAATCACATGGTACAGGCCTGGTCCCCAATCTGCTTGGTTGGGTTGGGAGGCTTGGTGGGTATTCCTGTATTCCCCCAACACAAGTTCCCTCTCCATCTTGAAAAGCAAGCAGGGAAGTTGGATGGGCTCCAGAACTGGTACGCAAGGTTCTCGAAGGTGAACTGTGTCCTGCTTCTCATGCTGAGCCTAGGGCTGCCCTCAGACTCCAGCAGTGCAGGCAGAGGGGCCCGTGTCTGGTCAGCGCTAACCTCTCCTCTTCCTGCCATCCCCACTGCAGAAGTTGCAGGTTCTCCGGTCAGGTGCTCTGTGCCCATGCTGCCGTGGTCCTAGCTAGGCACCGTCTCACTGTCTCTCTTGCACTGAGATGCGGCTCTCCTTGCCATCCTCCTGGGTAACTGGCTGGCATCCGTGCAAAGTTTCCTGCACTGGAGCAGCAGTGTTGTGGCCAAGAAAATCCTCCGGATCAATCGTTTCCACAGGACCTTGCCACTCAGCCTTATCGTGGAGGGCCTGGGAAGCCAAGGTGTGAAGTTACCCCAGGAACAGGGCCAGCTGTGCCTTGGAGAGGCCGGTCCCTGCGAAGCAGGTCCGCTGCCAAGTCGCTTCCCCCTTTCCAAACAGCGAGCCAGTGCAGATTCTTTGGGTGCCGCCCGCCCCCTGCTGGCCAGGCTGAGAGTGACAAGAATCCTCTGGCTTCCGGAGTGACAGCCCGTGGTTTCAAGGAGCTGCCCCTTTGTCCCCCACCCACTGGACCCTTCCAAGGCCCAAAGGGGTGGGCCCCCTCATGTTAAATGCTAGGGAAGGAGTAAATGACCGCCAGGATTAGACTTTGCCAATCATGCCAGGGCCGCCCTAGGGCGAGGTGAGCTCTGGGGAGGTGACAGCCCAGGACTGAGTGAGTGGACAAAAGGAGTCAAGCTGAAACATAGGAGTGGGTGGGGGTGAGAGTAGCCTGTCCTGCTGCCATCCTCCTGGCTGCCGAGACAGACTCTGAATCGGTTTTCCTGCCCCACAGGCGACAACAAGTCAATCTTTCCAGCTTGCCAAAACCCTGCCCCAGTCCCAGGGGTGACCTACCTTATCCTTCGGCTTCCTGAACACCCTTCCTAAAGGAAGGAAAGGATTGTGGAGTTGCAGAGGCCAGATCGGGACCAGAAACGTTCTTTTGTGCTTTTTTTCCTCCCTCCCTCCCGCCTCCTTCTCCTTCCCTCTCCCCACCTGGGAACTCAGTGAAGTAAAGACACATCAACAAGATGGCAATCAGGACCCCGACAACGATGGGGATCACCAGAAGGGCTCGACTCCGATTCTGGAAACCTGGAGAAATCGAGACTTCAGTGTGCACCTCCCCGCACAGTTGCTCCCACCCCCATGCCCAAAGCGCTGTCCCTTGCCAGACTCTGAAATCTGCCAATGTCTGACCTTATCTACATCAGACGTTTCCAATGAGTGGCTCTTTGGGGAAAGCTGGTTGGCAGATGTCTTTAGGGGTGACCAGCACATTTTTTTAATGCTTTGAGGTACCTGCCAACATTTCAAAATTAGGAGATGCCATATTTAAAATCTGAGCATCTAGTCTCACAAACTCAGGCGGGGGGGGGGGGAAGCCCATGAGGGCCAGGATCTCCACCTGGCGCCATCAGCTAGAACCGGGGAGGGGTGGCTGGCTGGCCTGCTTCTCTAACACTCCTACTCTGCCAGACACTAAGGTCCAGTTCCAGTTGCACTCCTGCTTTAGAACAGACATAGAGGAAAGTATTTCTTGGGCTCACGTCTGTCTTCTAAGTGAGCAGATAAAAGAAAGATCAAGGGGCAGGTAGTCTCTAGCGTGAGGCAAGGGATACAAACACTTTGTTTGATACTTCAAACAAACTGAAGAGGACACCAAAAAAAAAAAAAAAATGAAGAATCAAGTAATTTTTTTAATGCCACATTTTGAAAATCAGCCAGCAGACACCAAGGGAGCAAATGATGGCCCTAATGCCGGCCACCTTTTTTAAAATAAAGTTTCATTGGGACCAGGGCCAAAATTAGGGTAGAGTGAGGCAGGGTCATGCAAACATAAGGTTAGAGTCTGTCCTGATGCAAAATTTTGCTATTCTATTCATCATGAGGGTTTTGTGTTTTTGGTTTTTTTTTTTGGCATTTTGATTTTTAAATATTGCATCAAGATGCTGTCCATTTGATTACTGCATTTTAAGTCACTCCTTTAAACACTGGGCCAAGTGCCTCCCTCACCTCTTTCTAGGCCAGCCCTGCCAAGAGGAAAGTCAATTTTGAGAAAAAGCAAAAAGAATGTACTCTTCTTACCTCTGACCCTTTTCACTCATTAACATGACCTGCCTAGTCCCTGTAGCTGTCTGAGTTTATACCCTGTGATGTAGGCCAACCTCCTCATTCTAACAGTAAAACTGAGACCAACAGTGGACAGTGTCACAGCATGCTGGCACTGAAGGATGGAGTCACAGAACAGTATTTATGGTGTGTCTCCAAAGCACCGGAACCCACGTGTGGTATCCACACTAACCCACTAGGGAAGTTGCTATTGTTGTTCCATTTTACAGATAAAGAAACTGATGCCCAGAAAGGGGAAGTAACTGGCCTAAGCTCCCAAGGAAGTGGTAAAGCTGGATGCCACACCCCAGCCTTCCTCCTCCTCTCATTTCACCTCCCGCCCCTCCCCCACCTGGTGTCCCTCTGTGCCTCAGGCTCTCCCATCAGTCCCCAACTTCCTAGAATGCCACCAGGGGCCATGCTCCAGGACTCACCACAGACAGCGTCAGTCACGTTGGTTCCTGCCTGTAGCTCCACCAGGTATTTGTTCTCACAGCTACACACAGACACATGTGCGCACAGACAGACAGAAATAGTATTAGGTCTTCCCAACCATAAAACGTCCAACCCCAGAGGGAGGCTGTCAATGCTCAGCAAGTCCAGGTTCACTGAGCATGTGTTACGTGCAGCAGTCTATGCTGGATTTTATAGGAATGGCACCAGCTCTGTTCTTATGGAACTCGAGTGCAAGAAAAGCATAGTGGCATATCTTGCAGGACTAACAAAGACAAGAGTCGATGGTGAGTGTCAAGCTTGGTAACACAGACCAAAATGAAAGGAGCATTGTTTAGAGTCACAATACACAATGGCTGGAATGGAGACGTGATGAGTTCAGTGTAAGGCAGCCAGTTCCTCAACCTCGGCACCAGTGACCTCCTGGCTGGACAATTTTGTGTTGTGGGCAGGGGGTTGGGGGCTGTCTGAGCATAGTAGGATGTTTAGCATCATCCCTGGCCTGTCCCCACTAGGTGTCAAGAGCACCTTTCTCCCCAGTTGTGACCTGAAAGATGTCCAGTCATGGCCCATGTCCCACAGGGAGCAAAACTGCCACCAGTTGAGAAGCTCTGGTCTAAGTGTCATCAGTAAAGATTTCCCTGTGGAAGAAAGACCTGAGAGGACCCTGAAGGATATAAAACATAGAACAGCAGTGCATTCCAGCTACATGACCAGTGTGATGGGAGGGAGAGCAGGATAGTGTTAGGGAACTGTGGACAGCCAGATCGACAATAACCAGACACGAAGGTTTCCACCAGATGCAGCTGGTGAGTCTCAGCAGCATCCAACCAGATGACCTAACTAGTGAGAGGATCAGCTGGCCAGGGCGCCCAGAGGAGGAGAGACTGCAGAAGAGAGGGCAGCCAAGAGGCACACAGGAGACTCTACGGGAGACGAGGGACACCTGGTCCCAGGCAGCCCCCAGAGGAGCAGGCAGGCGTGAACAGAGAAGGGCATTACAAAGGAAAACCCATCAAAGGAGGGAGAAAGAGAGAAAAGCTGCAGGGAAATCACACAGTTTAGCCTTATATGAGTTTACAGCAGTTGACAAACACTTTTATGTGTCTTTTTCTCAAGTGTTGTGGGAGGACAGCACTCCCATTATGCAGATAAAGACGCCATGGTTCAGAGGAGACAGCCACACATCTACTGAGCTGCAGGTTAACTGCGGGGCAGTGTGCCAATCTGACTCTAGCCTGGGAGCCTCTAATTGTCACCAACTCTTGCTAGCAAAGACTGAGCACCTACTCCACAGCAGACTCTCTTCCAGGCCCCAGGGACGGATGGGGGAAGAAAAAAGGCCACCAGGGAAAAGCACACAATAAACAACGTATACGTGATGTGCTCCAACTTGTGCGACCAAAGGAGAGAGAATATGAATGTGCATGTGTGGATGTGGGTGTGTGCTCACATTTGTTCATACACAGAGCTTTGGAAGGACACACAAGAACGGAGGCAGCCCTGGAGAACTGGGAGGCTGAGGGGCACGAGTAGGAGGGAGATCCATCACTGTGGGCCCTTTTATATCTTCTGTCCAGTATGCCTGTTTTACCCATTTTTAAAAATTCAATGTAAAAAGTTAATGGGGCATGCGCTTACGGGTTCTTCCAGGTGGAGGAGTTTGAAGCAAGAGAATGAACAGTGTCCTCAGGGGATCGCAAATAGCACGTCAGCGGGATTCAAGAGAAGGGATAAGGAAATACAGCTGGAGGCACATGCTGCCCAAGGAGTCTGGATTTCCTCCTCAGGTGACACAGAGCCATGAAGCATTTTAAATCAGAGAGTGTCAGGCCAGGTGATATAGCTCAGTGGCACAAGCGCCTGCCTGGCAAGCGTGAGGTCGTGAGTTCAATTCCCGGTACCGAAAAAAAAAAAAAAAAAATCAGAGCGTGTCATGGTCCCCAAGGAGCTGTGGAAAGCTCACTTTGGGAAGAGCCAGGAGAACCAGCTGAAGGGGATCCACGAGGGGCAGGGTCTGGCGGGGAGGTATCACTACACCACAGTGATGAGGCCAACTAAGTGACGAGATGGATTCCTAAAACTCTCAGGCCAGATGGACAGGACGTGGCAGCTGAAATCAGAGAGAAAGAGAGAGGCTCGTGGGGTGAATGTCCAGGGCCATCACGTGCCTTTCACCCAAGGAAGAGATGTGGACAGGAGGGCCCAAGAAGGGGCACAATGGGGTGTGGGCAGAGGGGCAGAAGGAGGGGCACAGAGAGCACCCCAATATGCCCAAGGCGGAAGAGTTCTGAGAAAATTGGGAGATGGACAGTACCCATCACACTAAGAGACAGCAGGCGAGAAAAATGCAGAAAGTGCCCTTTAGGTTGGCCAGAAGATCACTCTGTAGATATTTCACAGGTGTACAAATGTGTGGCCCTGGAAGATACGGGACTGAAAGACGGGTGGCTGGAGAGACTGAGGCAGGGTTCATCCACTCTAGGAGGTGAGTCCTTATACCTTGTCCAAGGGTGACACTTTCCAGAAACAGATGACACATTGGAGAAGAAGCCATTCGGGCAGGGTTCACAGATGGTATCAGAAGCCTCTGTACCTGGGAGCGGGAAGGGAGGGCACACTGACCATCAGATGGGCCACTGGCCCGGCTCTCAAGGGAGTCAGTGGACAGAACTGCTGCCCTGATAGAGGACTGCTCTACCAGGCCAGGCTGCAGCCCAGCGGGACTCCTCCATGGCCCTCCCAAGGCACATACTCATAGCAGGGCAAAGAATATAAGGGGCCCCGCTTCCTGCTCATTCCAGTGGGCAAGCTCACCTTGGAATCTCTACTCCCACTCCCCCTGGGGCTAAATGCCCACTGCCCAGCCCCTCACCTTTGACCCCCCAGCTCTTCTCTATTGCCTGCAGAGCTGGTTCTCACGCAGGGCTACTTACCCAGCTGCTTGACCCCAAGTCCAGGGCCACAGGGGGTGTGTAGATCACAGTGCTCGCACGCGTTATTAGTGCAGTGCTGGCCTTCCTTACAGACACAAGTGGTGTCTGTTTCTAAAGTGCCCTCCTTCTGGACCTGGAGCCCTAGATCTGAGCAGAGATGAGCATGAAGGATGAGAACCCCTTGCTGGGCCATGCTGAACACCCCACTCCTCACATTGCCTACTGTTTTTCTTAGACCCTCTTGCAGTTAAGGATAGCAATCAACTTATTTAACAACCAGTACAACCCAAACTCCAGCCAATCAGAACAGACCCTAGCTACCAAAATCAAATGGCTGTCCCCTCAAGGAAATCAGCCAGCTACCAAGCATCCCTTTCCCAGCAGTTCACCCACTGGGGTCGCAGTGTCTGTGGACATGACAGTGTCTCTCTGTGTTCCAGGTGTCTAGGTATTCGCCTTTCGTGCAGCGAACGCATTGTGTTTGCTTTAACTCTGTGCATTCATCCACCAGCTTCTCTCCTGGAAAACAGGAAATGAGGTAGCTCTGGCCAACTCAGTGAGTCAGACCCTAATCACAACATGATCTGGTTGGAGGGGATCAAAAATTAAAGTGTCAGGCCCTTCAGAGTCAGGGAGGGGAGATGAAAGAGACAGAAACCCCATTGAGAGGGAACCCAGAACATTCTGAAAGCAAGGCAGAGAGGAGAAATGGGCATGTCAGACTTGATTTTACAATTAATACATGGGGTCTTGATCTTGCAGCAAACCAAGAGGGGTCCCCTGGGGGGGTTACATGGGTGGCATCTTACCTGGTGGGCACTTATTACAGCATACACTGTTATGTAGGAATTGATTTTCTCCGCATACAGAAGATGCATTTGGGCGGACCTATAAACAGAATTGTGTGACTGGAAGGGATCGTGAAGTCTTTGCTGTTGCTTCCTTAGCAGGGAGGTTAAAAGGCAGCCAGCACACAAGCTGCAACTGATGTGGAAGTCCAAAGCAGAAAAATGGAGTCCCAAGGGTAGTGGGTGTGTTTGTTTAAAAAAAAAAAAAAAAAAAAACTGTTGACTGATCTGATTTATAACAGCACCCAGAGAATCATTCTGATATTTTACAAAGCAATCGCACTGGAAACCCATAGCATTTTCTGAACTGAACGAATCTGCTTGATTCCTGCGTCTTTACTCTTTCCAATGACTACAAGGCAAGAGGATTCCAGTGTCTCCCTGGAGTCCTGAGGCCGGCTGCCTTTGGCTGGCCGCAGGCCTCGGTAAGGCTAGAATGAGCACGTGGCCTCTTCCTCCTATTCTGTTCCTCTTCCGTCCCTGCTCCCAGCCCCATCATGGTTTCTCCCTTCAACTCTGCACGATCTGTTCACCAAAGCCCTTCCTCATAAAATGCGAGGATTGTGGAGCTGGGAGGATAAAATCCAACTCTTTCATTTTACAGAGATTGATACCGACCACCAAAGAGGCTGAGTCACTTGCCCAGGGCCCTGAGGACATAATCTGAATGAGAACTCAGGTCTCAACACACCCTCTTTCCATCAACTTGTGTTCTGCCTGCACTGTCTCCATGATGTCCAGACACTACCCGTGCTATTACTTGCCTTGTGCTATTGAAATAGTTTTCTCTTAAATGTAAACCTTTCATCATTGTCATGCGAGAAGAACCAGTATCACTTCTCATAAGTAAAAGGAAACCCTAAAAATAAATTCAACAGAAACAAAACAATGCTATTAAACCTCAGCTAGCTGTTTGGCTTGCTAAATAAAGGCCCTCCACCCCAGGCCCACTCTTGATTTTAGTTTAAAAGGAGGATTAGGAAGCTTTTGAGAGGCATTAACTATATTCCAGCTCCAGAGACTTCCTCCTTGAAAAAAAATGAGGAGGACTGTAAAAAAAAGAACTAGCAAATGAATCCATCTTTAGTTCTATATCCATGTGCTCCCTAAAATTATCCCACACCTTGAGAACAGCAGCAAAAAGAGCACAGGTTTGACAGTGAGATAGCTTTAGGCTCTACACTTTGTAATACATACAACTTAGTCTGCTTTTCTAGCCTTAGCTTCCCTGTCTTTAAAGTGGGAATAATAGGGCTGGGGATTTAGCTCAGTGGCACAGCGCCTGCCTGGCAAGAGCGAGGTCGTGAGTTTGATTCCCGGTACAGGAAAACAAAACAAAACAAAACAAAAATCAAATAAAATAGGAGTAATAATACTTGCCTTGCAGGTTGGGTTGTGAAGATGAAAAGAAATATATGTATATAGCCTGGCTTAGTATCTAGACCAGCGATGGTGAACCTTTTAGAGGTTTCTATGATACTAACAGCCCGCTGAGGCACACGTGCCATAGCCTCGCCACCACTGGACTCCAGGCCATAGTAAGTACTCATTAAATGACAGTTTCAATCATCACACATAGATGAGTATATTGTTAGATGCCCAGCACACTGGCTAACTGGCTGCCTGTCTGGGATCCAACTAATTTTCAGTTTTCATTCAACCTGGTATCTAAGAAGATTACTTACAGAAATACATCTTACCCAAAATGGGGAAGGAAATAGAAAAGGCTACTCCCCCCTCCCAGCACACTCCGAGGCACTACCTGTGACCCTTGCCTCCACACTCCCAGAGCAAGGCAAGTCCCTCATCTTCAAAACTATGAGAAAAACAGCTCCCGGCCTGAAAACTTGTCAGTCCCCAGTGCCCAGCCCCCACAGCTCCTGTACTTCTGCCAAAAAGATTTCAGGACCAGGGCTTGGAGACTCACCCGGTAAGGAAACAGCTTAGAAATTAACAGATGTAGATTCATATCCAGGTTCTACCATTAGTGAGTTATAAAACTCTGGGCAAGGCAATTCCCCTTCTTGAGCCTCGGTTTGCTTATCTGTATAATGCAGGAGTCAGGAAGAGTCAGATGGAGACTATATGTAGCGCTTTGTAGTGTTTTCAGAGCATGACGGATGCACAGGAAGATCTCAGCATTTAACCCCTGCAACTGTCACAGCCCAGCCTGTACCTGGAGCCCAAATTGGGGGTTATGAGAGCATAAGAGCTGCTCTTGAGAAGCCCAGGTAACCTTTCCCTCATCCTCTCCAGCTCTCCCTCCACTCCCTGAGTGAGGCCTTCCTCCTGCCTGCTTCCTCCCTAGGAGCCATTCCCTAGAATGAAAATGAAAGTTTGGAACCAAAGCAGCTTCTCCACTCTCTTCCCTTATGATTGACGCCCTCCCTGCTTACACTTACACACACACACACACACACACACACACACACACCCCATGGGTCATTCCTGTCCCAGCTTCTTGCCAGACTCCACAGTCCCTGAAGAAAGGGGGAGGCCCAGGGGCTGGGATGAGAGAGCCAGGTACTTGGGGAGTTCCCAGCCTCCAGAATGAGGAACTACAGAAATACATTTGAACCAAAAGTGAGTCAAGTGTGGGCTTCTGAAAAACCCAGTGATATGCTTGGTTGGATCTCAGCTCTGCTGGTACCTGGAGAAACCCCTGCTGGTCTCCCAGGCCTTTCCTGGGTCCCATGAACTGTTTATCTCCCACAGGCGTCCCCTATGTCATCTTCAAGAAAAGGAGACATAACCTTGGGACCTCCTCCTAAATTGGCTCACCCAGGATTGGGGTGGGGGTTAGGAGTGTGAAGTGAGCCTTCCCAAAACAAGTACACAGGTCTCTGCCTGCATCCCCTTGTTCCCACAAAACGCTCTGAAAGAAGGTAGCCCCAGCTGGCAAGATCACAAGCACTGGAGGCTGGCCTCCTTCCACAAGGGGAAAGGCACAAGCAACAGGTCGGACCCACCCCATCCCTTGGGCGACCTCCTCCTCCCCTTTGAAAGCCCTTCCGGTCTCTGCGACTGGCGAAAGCAAACCCAGACGCCACCTTTCTGCTCAGATAGAGATGGAGGCTCTCTAAACCCCAACCCATCCACACCGTCCAGGCACTTTTGTGCCGTAGTGCCTCCGTCAAGCTCTCTGTGAGCTACCCGGGATCCTAATAATCTGGCAGAAGAAGCAGCCCACCTTATTTTTAGCCAGGATCTGGGGTGACTTGCCTAGCTTCCACACACCCTTCTGTCCCCCCAAAATCAACTAGGAAAGTCTCTATCGCTAAGTCTTCCTTCTCCTGCCTTCCCATTTCCCCAGTCTCAAATCCCAATCGCAGTCGAGTCGAGACAGAAACTACTCACGGCTGTCAGCAAATAGCCCCAGAGGACGCACCACAACGCCAAGCGAACCATGGCGGGGTGAAACCCGAGTGGCAGGAGCGAGGGGCGCGCGGGCGGGGCCTCTAGTAACTCTTCTGCCCCCGCCTAAGGCCCCGCCTAGGATATGGGCGGGGTCTTTGAGGACCAATCGCATCAGCCTGCGAGATGGGGGCGGCACCCGTGGCTGGACACAGCCCAGGGATTTCCCCAGGACCTTCCCAGCAGTTCTAATCCTCGCTTCTCCTGGGGAGTTTAGGGACGCGCTCCACAGGGTAGGCCCGGAGAAGCTTGGTCCCAGAAAGGGCACTAACTCCTCACCTCCGAACCCATAGACTATGTAGAGACAGGCCCCGAGCCAGCCTGCTTCCAAGAGGGTGGGGGAAGGAGAGAGGGATCCCCGTGGGTGCTGGGGGGCTCCACAGGGACCCCCCCAGGGCTCCCTCCCACCCCCCATCCGCCTCCGGGAATTCCAGCAGAACCGAAAGCGTCTCCACTGTGGATAGAGACCCTTGAGGAAGTCCCCCCAACCACCCACCTGAGAAAACGGGAAGGCCGCTGCTGGAGCAAGGGGAGGGGTTTCAAGGAAACGGGTGTCCCAATTCAGTTTCGCTCTATTTCAAAGGAAATTCCCTCCTGTGAGCGCAGCTTCTCGGCCTCCCCATCCACCCATCCTTGAGTACCCATCGGGTTCTGTTCCATCCCAGCTCCCATCCAGCTCTTAGAGACAGGCATTTATTGGGTGAACCAGTCTTTCATGGGATCACAGGACTCATAAAACGTTAGCCTCGAGGCTCTTCCTTGAGCCTGCATCTCCCGCGTTTAACATGCTCCAGCATTTAACATGCGAGGCCATCGCTTGTATCTGCCTGGTCCCACTTGATTGTGAGACCCTTGAGGGTAAAGCCGAATCTATCCCAGTCTGGAGCACATCGTAGGACACCAATACACCGTTTTTGAATGAATAAATACATGAGTCATTGAATTCAGTAACTTCTGACCCCAAGCACAGCCTTGCTCACAAAAGGGGTTGAGGGAAGGTGGACACAAAGCTGGCAGCCTCAACAGACTTCAAGCTTCAATGGCCCGTGGATAAAAGGTGTGGTGGTCAGATACAAATAGGCCAGAAACACTTGAATCAGGATCCAGGAGTCTTCACTAAAGCCACCCGATCATGCCCAGGATAAAGAGAAGATTAAAATATCTTTTCTCTTTTTAATCCCCTTTGAAAATACAAGCACAGTTTTAATTCCTTTGGGAGGGGGGCGTTACTATAATATTTTGAGCCATTACTTATTCCTTATTTGCTTGATTCCAAAATTGGGCCTTTCACAAAACTGCCTGGGGAAGCAAGTGCACAGAATTAAAACATTAATTATATTATATAAAACATATCATAGCAGCAATTAAAGCAGCTTAAATTAATGTGTGAAAGAACAAATAGTAGCCTTCGGGTTGCCCCATGGGGCGCAGACCAGACAAGATAAAGGGAAGATATTTCCGTGCATGCACACCCCAAAGAGACATGCACTGGTGGCGAGGCCCAGGGGAAGCACAGAACCTTGTTGGGCTGAGAAGAGTGTGCCGGAGGAAGAGAGCGCGGAGATGATTTAAGGGGAGGCAGCAATAGTCAGAGTCCCATCAAAGAGGGAAACGATGAAGGGTTCAGCAACAGAAACAGGGCAAAGGACATTCAGAAGAGCAAGGACCCGGGAGTTTGGAATCTAAGGAAATGGCTTTGGAGAAGGGGTCAGAGGGCCAGGTGAATGAATGCAAAGCATACTTGGAGACTGAGTGTCTATCTACAGTGCTGCCAGAATCTGGTGACCACAGGGACCTAGCTAATATGTGAACCTGACTGCGTCCTCCCAGATCTGAAGTGACAAGCAAGAGCCCTCACTTCTCAAGCTCACAGGGCTGCAAGGCCTTGGACTTGCTGACCTGCATCTCTAATTCCACCCTTCCAGCCTAATGCTCCCACCCCACTCCACTGCAAATGCTCTGTGCTCTCACCTCTGCCTGGGACACTATTCCTCCACTCTCCCTTAGTTTCTCCCTTCAAAGATGGGCTTGGGAGCTCCTCCCCAGGAAGTCCTGCCAGCAGCCAACCTGGCTTCTGCTGACCTCTCCCCTCAGGCTCTCTCGGAACCTAGTGACTGCTTACCTAGGGAAACTACAGCCTAACTGTACAGCCATGCCATGCTTCAGTTATTCTGTTTACTTGTAGAACCAGTGTACGAAGGTGAGTCAACTCCATGGGGCATAATAATGACGCTTTCCCCCTAATCTCTGCCTTTGGCCATGCTGTGTTGAATTTCCCTTTTCCATCCCTTAATGACATAGTGGGCAGACTGCATTACTTTTGGATCACATTCTGCTATTAAGTCGTTCAAAGCTTTATTCTCCCCTGAAAGGTTGACTTGAGCCAGAACCCTGTCACTCAAAGTAAAAACCAGCGGGGAGGAGACGGCCTGGTTGGGAGATGTACCCTAGTACCCCCCCCCCTCTTGTTGAAATGGGAAGGAGTAAAAAGAGCAAATATCCCTGCAAATATGTCTGTCCCGGCAAGAGCTCTCCCTCTCTATTGGTCAGTCCTCCTTGCCTGGTGTGGCAAGTGTCCATTCATGGTTTCTCATGGGGCACATGGGTAAGTTTTATGGGGACTACCCCACTGCACAGTTCCCCACCAGGGGGCATCCAGCTCAGGCATTAGCTCTCCCACCTTGCTGCCCCCTGACTGGGTCCTGCCCAGCAGTCAGCCTGCTTCTGTGGGACATCAGAAAGGTGCTCCAGCCGGATAATTACTGCAGTGCGCACTTGACCCACAAGAACACGTGCATTCTTGGCCAGCTGCTCCACAGTGCCCTCTCCCCCATCCCTATCCGTCCCTGCTCACGTAGGCACAGTCCACCGCCAAGCAGATCCCCGTCAGGGAACACCATCCCTGTCTTGCCTCACTCTCAAACTCCCTGAAGGACTCCCTTTGAGGTCCCTACCCCTCACACACACACACTCACATTCACCCCTTCAATTGCCTCCCACTGGACATACTATCTTCCTCAATGAAACCAAAGCCCTCCCCAGGATCGTTATATGGGCAAGGAAGAGGAAACTGGGGTTTTGGCTAGTAGATGTAGGACAAGTTCTGACTCCTTCAGTAAATCCTGAAGGGAAATTATCTGTCTTCCTAGAAAACAGGGTACCTAGGGCTTGTTGTCGTTGGCCATGGGCCATATTGCCAATTTCTAAGCAACAGAGCTCAACAACCTTTGGCCTGGGCCTCACATCTAACTTGATTACTCGAGAGGAGGAGCAGTGTCACAGTCATCTTTGTAAACTGACGCCTAAGCAGAGCCCAGGCATGCCAGATACTGATCAGGTGTTTGTTGAATGAATTCAGGGGCATACAGTAATGAGAACAGAAGGGATCCATCAAGATCCACCCGCCCCGTCCCGCCCCCTACTGTCCTGGGTAGCTGCCCATCTCCACCAGATGAGCAGACTCTCTAGCTGGGATTCCCAGACTTAAATGTAAACAAAAATCTTTCCCTTTAGCTCAGCAGATTTGAGTTGGGATTTATCAAAAGGAACTAAGAAACTTAGAAAAGAACCCCAACCAAAAACTTGGAAAACCCGACAGCTAACAAAACCCATGGTGGAGGAAGAGGTCAGAATGGATTCAGAGTATAGAATTTCTTTATTATGATCTGGTTAAAGGTATTTACTTGACCTGGCTAATTCAGATTCCCAGATAAAGAGAGCTTGACTCTGGTCTTCAGCCTTCTCAGGCTCTGGTGTCTGGGACAACAGACAGCTTCAGTTTCAGCAAGGGGCATCCAAAACCCTTACTGTGACCTTACAGTCCTGTGTGACCTGGCTCCTGATCACCTCTCCCCTCAGTATTTTGTTTGTTTTCTTTTTTGTCTTTTTGACACAGGGTCTCGCTATGCAGTTCAGGCTGACCTTGAGCTCACTTTGTAGCCCAGGCTGGCCTGGAACTCACAACGATCCTCCTGCCTCAGCCTCCCGAGTGCTGGGATTACAGGCATGCGCCACCACGCCCGGCCTCCCCTAAGTGTTTATGTGCTTGCTACCTCAGCCATTCAGGCCTCTGAACTCCTACCTCAGAACATCGTCTGTGGCCCTCCTTCCTCCCTTCCTCCACTAGCTCTTCCTCTCTGATCAGGTCGAGGGCAAATGGCTCCTTCTCAAGGAGGCCTTCCCTGAACACCTGGTCTAAAGGGAGCCCCAGCCACTTCTGGCCCAGGTCTCCTGCTGCCTTTTCTCAAGAGAAAACAGAGCCAGTGAACTTAAATAAAAGAGGGCATTATTAGAAAGGCAGCAGTCAGCTAGTGGGATTAACAGAAAAACCTCAGGTCAGGACTACAGGAAGCAGGGCATAGATGAGACAGAGAAATTTTTACAACCACCTTGGTGTTAGCCAGCCTCTAGGACGGCCCTTGATCTTCACACCTGTGCCTATTCCCGCCCTCACTGTACGAGGGTTGGTCTGCATGGCCAACAGAAACCAAGAAGAGTGACACTAGGTTACATCTGAGTTCAGGGTATACAAGCCCTGAGGCCTCCGTATCTCCCTCCGCCGTTAGGCCCTCTGGAAAAGTCAGCTTCCTGCCATGTCTTGGGGACATTCAAGTAGCTTATACAGAATCCTGTGTGCAAGGAACCAAAGATCCCACCAGAGGCCATTTCTAAGGAGACCTTAGAAATGGATCCTTCAGCCCAAGGCAAGCTTCATTCTCTATCAGCCCCAGCCGGTATTTTGATTACACCTGGCACCTTGTAAATGCTTTGGATTTTTCAAAATATTTTCACAAAAACTTGGGAAACTCATACCAAATGTTATCATTTACTTTAATATTTAACAATTTGATGGGTAAAATAATATTGCTGCTTTAATTCACATGTCCTCATTTATTAATGAAGTTGAACATCTGATCAAATGTTTATCACTTGGATTTCCTCTTCTATGAACTGTTTATATCCTTTGCCCAACTGTCTTTTGAACTGTCCTTTTTCATACTGATTTCATTCAATCATGTATTCACTCAACTAATATTCATTCAACTAATATTCATTGAGCATCTACTATATGTGACATGGTGGGGTTAGAGTATTTAACCAGGCAAATTCCCAACACTAATGAAGAACACTTTTCCTCTGTCATCCATGCTGCAAACCAGCTCAAATGTCTAGTTGTACCTTTAGGCTCTGCTATAGACGTGTTGTGGCAGATGCTAGTCATTATGGTTGTAGCTTTTATGATGTAAAAATACTTAGCAGTAGTACCAGGTGCCTGTACACCACTAATTACTTAGTACAAGTCACCAATTTAGTATTTCAGAAAGACCACGTTGTCCAAGCTTCTGTATAGCACCTTGCTGGCACCCCACCCTCACACCCTCCAAGGTCACTGTTACATTCCCTACTTCAAGTACTTGTGACTTACTGCCCTGAGCCTTTTATGACTACACTTGCATGCTTAGCCCTTGATATGGCCAGAAGTGCCAGAGTTAATGCCCCTGAGAGCAGCCTTCTACCAGTGACAGAGGAGGAGTTGGTGGGAAATCGCCCAGCTTTCTACCCCCGTTTGATGCGATGACTAAGAGGTGTGCACCCTGCCCTGGTTCTCCACGCAGATGAAGTCCCAGTTGCTCACAGTGTGCCAGGTTCACTCATTCACTCTGTCGGGCCCCGCTTGTGCCCCCATCACCAGTGCTTCCTGGGCTTGCCACACAAAGAAATTACTTGCACTTGTCTCTGTTTCTCTCTCTGTTTCTGTTTCGGGAAGGATCGAGCCAAGATACACTGATTTACAAATGAGGAACTAGCAGTAGGAGGCAGTGTAGCGTGGTAGATAGGAGCGTGAACTCTGACATCGGAGACCTGGATCCAAAACGTGGTACGCTACTGACAGTGGACCCCTGAACACATTTTTAACTTGGGGTTTCGCCCCTGTGACAGGGTTTCAAGAGCTCACGTGGTTATTAGGAAGACTGAACTAATTATGTCATTTTCTCATAATGTCTAGTAAAAATGATATTATTAATATTAGAAAAAGTGAGAACTAGACAATACCAGTAGCTCACGTGAGGCTACATGGGCACCTGAGACTCTTACGTCCCTTTTCAGAAGACTCAACTCTCCTGTATCCCCACGGCTAGGGACAAGAATGGATTTTCCTTTTCCTGGGCTTTAACTACTCCTAGGCATGTTGGGAGATTGGGGTGCTTTATCAGTGCTACCTAACAAAACATTCTATATTTGCAACACCCACTGTGGTAGCCACTAGCTACATACATGCCTGGTGAACACTTGGAATGTGCTGGTGCAACCAAGGAAGTAGATTTCTAATTATATTTACTTTTAACAAATGTAAATAGCCATATATCGCTAGTGACTACCGTATTAGGCAGCTCAGAGCTAGAGAAAGGGGGTTGGGCGATGATAGGAAGAATCTTAGTTCTTTCTTTTCCCCTATTTTTCTCTTGCCTCCTGTTTCCTCTCTCAACCAGAGCTATTCATCTCCTCATCACAGCTCTCTGCCTTCTCCTCCTTTGTATGTGCTAAGTTCCCTGGAAGGAAGCAGCAGGGGCTTGACAACCGTTGTATTTTCATACACCCAGCAAGGTAAGACAAGCTCCTTTGTGATCCTTGAGCTGAAAGACAAGACGAATACCTGCTATAAATACAGCTGAATAAGATCTTTTTCCAGATGGCTTCCATTGTTCCCTCTTCCCTTATAGTATTCACACTGAGATAATTCCCAGCTTCTCAGCTCCTCCAGCGTTATAAAACATACCATTACCTCATTTTCATTTCATTAGACTTACAGGTCACAAGACTACTTTGATCCTTACCAAGTTCATCATTAATGGCTTCAAAATAATAGTTCTTTCTGTTTCAGCATGAGCCCAACACAGAACTTCCTACTTGTCAATTCTTTTATCTCCTGCTTCCTACTTTTGACTCTCTAGTCTAGACAATGGGGCTAATGGAGCTTTCCAAATGCTAGTGTGCATTTCACTCCATGGAGACACTCCCCATACAGTTCTGTAACTTCACAGAAAAAGCAATAAAAGTAGTAATTTCTTTCCAAACCATCTAATCCTGATGGATGGCATGGAAAGTTTTGCCGAGTCACACAGATCCTCAACCATCAGCTCTCCCAGGTTACATTTCAGTGGTATCTCTAATTAACTCTGCAGGGCTCAGTAGAACACATGGGCTTTTGAGTCTCACAGGCATGGCCTTAAATCTGATCAAATCGCTTAAGAACAGGGAGAAGGAAATGACCTTATCTATTTGGGCCTCAATGTCCTCATCTGTAGAATGGAGATACAAGGTACTTACCTTGCAGGTACTGAAAAGGACTCAGAGGATTCATACAGAAAGTAGAATATTGGAGTCATTAGGAACAGGCACTACACCACAAGTCTACTGTTCTGTGACCTTGGATAATTTACCTACTCCACTGAACCTCAATTTTCTCATTATAAAATGGGAATAATAACACCTACTGTTTAGGGTTTTAAGAGGATTAGCCAAGGATAGGTATAGATGGATACAGATAAACAGAGACATTGACAGACATACAAGGTGTGATCAAAACATAAAGTAAATATTTAACTTCAAAATTTCTAAAAATTTATTACAACCGGGCATAATCCCCGCACTCAGGAGGCTGAGACAGGAGAATCACTGCAAGTTTGAGGCCAGCGTGGGCTACATAGTGAGATCCTATCTCCAAAAACCAAAAAAAAAAAAAACAAAACGAAAAACAAACAAAAAAAACACCAAACTACTACAGTAAATGATACACTGCCGTTAAATTCCCCTCAAAATACTTCAAAGAAACTTACCCCACCATTCTTGCCACTTTTTGAAACAGGTCTGGATGTCCCCTTTTGTGAGTGTCTTTCTGCACTGTCACAGCTGCAATTCAAAAGGTTCTGCCAAATAAAAGCATTAGGGTGGGTCCTCACCCACCTTATTCACTGCATTCAGCCCGGTGTGACTTCTGGCTCTTCCCCAAAGTCGAAGTGATGATGAAAGGTAAATGTTTCAAACTGATTAATTTTAACATTCATATTTATTGATCACATCTGTGTGTGTGCATGTGTGTGTGTGTGTGTGTGTGTTGTTAATTTTCTTTACAACAGAGTTCTTAAGTGTTTCACATATTGTGGACTGCTTGCTAGCTGTCTGGAGAATTCTATGGATCCTTTCCAGGAAAATACACATGAATGCAAAACATATGATAGAGCCACAAAGAAAACCAATTATACTGAAATACAGTCATCAAAATATTAAGACAAATGTGTGATATAGCACTGTATAAGCTTCTTTACTAATGGATTAAATAAGAGGAAACAGAAGCAAGTCTAAAGCCTCCATAGTCTCAAAGTAATGATGAGTGCAAACAGGAATTCAAGACATCTGCAGCAGGGGCTGGGGATATAGCTCAGTGGCATAAGCGCCTGCCTGGCAAGCGCAAGGTTGTGAGTTTGATCCCCGGTACAGCCAAAAAAAAAAAAAAAGACATCTGCAGCATCTGCACTGTAATATGAAATAGAAATATCTCTGATTTCTATTGGTGGCAATATAGCAGATCCTGATGGTATTACTATCTATATTGCCTTATATGTCTTATCACCTATATTCATAACAAAAAGAAATGCTTAATTTCAGTTAATTAAAATAAGGAAGAGGAGCTGTAATCCCAGCACTGGGGAGGCTGAGGCAGGAGGATCACCATGAATTTGAGGCCAGTCTGGGCTACACAAGCAAGTTCAAAGCCAGCCTGCACTATATAGTGAGACCTGTCTCAAAAAAATAAACAAATAAAACCTAAAATAAGGAAGAGAGTTTTCTCACTTAAGTTCATGAACCTCCCGGTGAAGGGCCCCTATCTTATGTTTACCAAGGAATAATGTAAAACACCTCCTTACATCCCATTACATCGCCTCTGATTAGACCAGTTATTGGAAAAGAAATATACACAATTGTGTGTATGGGTCCAGGAGATGAACAAACTACCGCTGGCTGTACTTACTGAGCGCTTCATGGCAGGCATTATTCTAAGTGTAGTACCTATGCTAACTCATTACTGCTAACAGTTACTATCCTTGTTTCACAGAGGAGGAAACTGAGACACATAGATGTTAGGTAACATGCCCAAGGTCAGTGAGCTGGTGAGAGAGCCAGGATTTGGACCTAGGTGACCGGCAATTAGCTACGAGGCTATATACTGCCTCTCTATTGTGAATGCCAGAATGAGACTGAAATTAAAACCTTCAGGATAAGTAGGTTTTAGATAAGGAGTCAAAGAGAATAGAGTGTGGAGGAAGGAGAGGTAGGCAAGGAACTGGGAAGATACTTTAAGCAGAGGGAATGGGACCTACAAAGGCATGAAGGAGGAAAGAACAAGGTGAATGTAGGGCCTGAAAGAACTGATGGGATTGCAAATCAGAAGCAAGGAGACAGTGACCTAAACTAAAAGTAAGCTGCACAGCAGAGAGGGGGCGGACCTTGTAAGGCCTTGAAAGCAGCTTTATCTTTATCCTGAGGACAATGGGGAAGTGACAATCAGATTTGTTTTTCCAAAAATATCACTCTAACTGTAGAAGGAAAAGAACTGGAGGGAAGAAAATGTGGAAGCAGGAAATCTAGTCTGGGCGCAACTGAAGTGGTCCAAGCTAGAAAGGACAATAGCAAAGTACACAGCAAAGTGGGGAGACTTGGGAAAGATTCGGAGGAAAAGGTCTGGCGCAGTGGAGGTGGGCACGCGGGATGATTCCGCCGTGGCGGATTATACTTCCCAAAGATGGCCACAACGATACCGCTCATCCCCACACATTCTTTTTAGAGTGGGACCTTGACATTTCTTCCATTCATAGACAGGGGTCCGGGTGCTCTTCCCTTGAATCTGGCCAGGCTTCTGTAATTTCCGGGGCTATGTCCTAGGAAGCAATGCAGATCCAATCTGGTCCTTTTAGTTGCTTTCTCAGACTATAGAATCCTGACTCCATGTAAGCAGCACAATGCCCTGAGCTACCATGAAGCCCACACTAGCCTTGCAGGGAGACTCAAACTATGTGACGAAAGATGTCCAGCTGGCCTCCAGCTTCCTCAGCTCCCTACTGGCCCAGAGGCAGTCAATGTCTGATGAACTCCAACCTAATACTGCCCAGACAAGCCCTTCCAGACATCCTGATTTCCAGAAACAGTGGGGGGTGGGGAGTGAGAGAGAAATTGCTTTATGCTGCTAAGCTTTGAATGTGAAACATTCATCCTTCACATCCAGCCTCTACTGACTCTTCCAGTTTCCAGCTGTCACCTTCACAAGGACGATTTAACATTCTCAGTGTGCGTTGTTTATGAAGGGCCCTGAAAGTTGGTGACACACAGCAAATGGCTCCTCGGTATGTTATCTCTACAATTTTAATTACCCAGACCAGTGGTTTGCAAACCTGAGAGGGCTTTTGGAAAAAAATACAGATTCTCAAATTGTACCCTGGACTCACAAAACCAGAATCTTCCAGAAATGGTAAACCACTGACCTGTCTTACTCTCTGACATTATCCTTTACCTTTTTATATGATTATTATATTTATATTCTATTTATATACCCCAACCCACCAAGACAAATTAGAAAATAGATCTTTTGAGAATTTCAAATTTCATTAATCAGACTGACTTGGTCATCTGAGTAGGAGAAACATTTATTAAAAATCATTCTCTTTAAATGTTCTCATAAGTATATTTCACCTGGCTAGAAAGAGAATGACCAAATATGATATTCCATCAATTGTGACAATAATCAAAACAATGTGAATCTCCTGAGACAGAGGTATCTTGGCAACAAGGAGTAGGCTTGAATGTGATCCTCTTGTAGACAAAATACTATATGATAAAGAAGAAATGCAAAATGGTTTGGAGGGGCTATACAGTGTTGAGGTAGCTTAGGGAGAGAGAGGATCTAATTACATCTACCTTGACATCATATGTCAAAATCAATTCTAATTAGAGATTTAATTATTAAAAAGGGAAACTAAGTCATGTTGCAACTAGAAAAGTAAAAACCATATTTATTAAGTTTCTGCAGAGAAGAAAGTACAAAGTAAAAAATATGTCAGAAAGACCATGAGCCTTCTGAAAGGTCTAAGGAAAATCTGTTTTCTTGCATTTTCTAGATTTTTTTGCCAGGGGCAGGGGGCGGTCTTTTTGAGACAAGGTTTCACAGGGCAGGGATATAGCTCAGTGGCATAAGCGCCTTCCTGGCAAATGTAAGGTCCTGAGTTCGATTCCCGATACAAAAAAAAAAAAGAGACAGGGTTTCACTATGCAATTCAGGCTGGCCTCAAACTCCTAACAATCCTCCTGCCTCAGCCTCCTGAGTACTGGGATTACAGGCATGTACCACCACACCTGGCCTGCATTTTCTATGCTTCTAGAACAGTGATGGTGAACCTTTTAGAGCTTTTCAATACCAACATCCTGCTGTGGCATGAATACCCTAGGTTCACCACCACTGTTTTAGAGGCTGCCTGATTTCCTCAGTTTTCATCTTCAAAGCCAATCTCAATCTCTCAATTTCAATGTCTCCCTCACTTCTCCCCTTCCCCTGCTCCTTCTCTCCATCACCCTCTCCCTCTCATTTTCTTGGGCTCCTTTTTTTTTTTTTTTTTTGGTACCAGGAATTGAACTCACGACCTAGTGCTTGCCAGGCAGGCACTGTGCCGCTGGGCTATATCCCAGGCCTCCCTCTTCTTCTCTTTCTCCTTTCCTCTCCTTTTTTCCCCTCCCTCCCTCTCTTGCTCCACCCCTCATTCCTTCCTCTTTCTGCTTCTGATCACACCCTCTTATCTCCCTCTTATCTAGGGATATTTCCATGCAAGATCAATGACATCTGTGAAGTCCTTGTTACCATGTAAGGTGACATGTTCACAAGGTCCAGAGATTAGGACATAGCTGCGCATGGTGGTGCGAGACTGTAATCCCAGCACTCGGGAGGCTGAGGCAGGAGGATCCTTGCAAGTTTGAGACCAGCCTGGGCTACAAAGTGAGCTCAAGGCCAGCCTGAACTGCATAGGGAGACCCTGTCTCAAAAAAAACAAACAAAAAAAAAAGACAGAGATTAGGACATGGACATCTTTCAGGGATCATTATTCTAACCACCACAATTGTACAGAGCTATACTAACATGGGGGGGTGTGGCCAAAGGCTGAGCTCCTAAGCAGGTGACCCTGCCAAAGTGGTCCCTAATTGCTGGGAAGGAATTTAGGGTGGCTATTTAGCAGTTCCCCAAGCCACTCCTTTCAACATACAATGCAGTGTGCCAAGTGACCACAGCACCATTCTTATCCACTCTGTTTACATAGTCTTGCTTCAGGGACCTATTAGTTACTAGGAACTTCATATCATCCCACAAAAGTCCCCTCCATCTGGGGCAGGGGATATAGCTCAGTAGCACAGCACCTGCCTGGAAAGTCCCCTCCATGAGTCCAACATCCTTGTGAGGCCAAGACTGAATGATTAGCTTTCAGTGACATTTATTCCACCTGTAGACGGGAGCCTACAAAGAACTATGGGTTTCTGCTTTTCTGGAATGATATAAAAAATAACCCAAGCAAACCTAGAGGAAGTCACCAACCATGATGTCATTATATGAACCTAGAGAAGATGAGATCTGTAAGTTAATGAACACACATAATGAGCCAGGCGTGATTCTAAGCTATTTCACTTGAAATACATGCTACATTTTACTTACCTGACCTCATACTGAACTTACAAGGTAGGTACTACTCTCACTCCTCTCTTTACGGATAAGGAGTATGAAGTGCAGGGAGGTTAAAGAACAAGCCCAGGTTTGCTCAGCTATGAAGTGGTGGAGCAGAGAGCTAAATTTAAACCATTCCGATTCCCCAGCTGGTTTTCTGATCCATCAAAGCTTCATAAATGGTCAGTTGTTAAACTTGAACCTAGAAATTTGGAGCCATGGAGATTTGTTTGCTTGACTCACTAGGTAAGTTCCTGGGACAGTACAGGCAGGTCCTGGAGCGTTGTGCAGCCAGTAAATTTAAGCTTCGCTTCTTCTGTCCCCATTTTCTAGGCCTCTGTCTTCACCTCTTTTGATGGAGACCACCATGAAGCAGACCTGAGCAAGACTTAAATTAATCAATTGGCTTTTCATGTTCACTTTCATGTTCACAAGGCCTAGGCTCCTTGTCTGGAAATGGATGGCGGACTCATAGTAAGTGAACTTCTGTGCGTCACTAATCCCTACTAAAACCTGTAATGGTGGATGAAACCGGAAAGTCTGAAAGGGTAAGACAAGATCACAGCCAAGGACACCTGGATCCATCTCAACTAGATAAGACTAGAGCCTCAGGCATCTCACGCCTGGTAGATTAATTTAATATCTTACTTGGAGAAGTCCTTGAGTGATTCAGCCCTTCTTGAGTACTCGCCTCCCTTCTTCTGATAACCAAATAAATACAGGCCACCCAGAGAAGGTCTTGGTTTTAGCCCTGAAAGAATCTTGAATCTGTGACAGGAATTTGATTTTCCTGGAACCCTTGAAATCATTCCATTTCCCTCTTTTTATTTAGCCTTCACTGTACACTCATTTGGGAGATTGTGGACCTGATCAGTCTGCAATAACTAAGGGATATTAACCCGATACTCTTTCAGACAGCCCTTTTGGTCAAGCACCCTCACCAAGACCAGCAAGAATAAATAGGAAATGTCTTGACTTCTGTTAGGTCATGAGAATTGGATACAAGAAATATTAATCTCTTGCATTTATGTACATAACATCACAGAGGGTCCCAGTCAAAAGGCTTTTCAGAAAAAAAAATATACTAGCTGAAAACCCAAACCACATAGAGATATCATCTCACCCAAGACAGAACGGCTATTATCAAAAAGACAAAAAAAAAAAAATGGTGAGGATGCAGGGAAAAGGGAATTCTTATATACTGTTAGTGGTACTATTGATTAGTACAGCTGTTATAAGAAACAGTATAGAGGTTCCTCAAAAACTCAAACTACTAGAAATCCTACCATTGAGTATATATTCAAGGGAACTGATATCAAAGCTCTGTCTGATAGCCATCAGGTAGTGTCCATAGTAAACTTTCATTTTACTCACTATTCAAACTCTGGGGTCCCCCCGTGAAGGGTTAGAGGCCACACACCAATCAGAACCTCCTAACTTAGAAGGGAATTTTTCCCCACATTTTGTATACCTTTTTTTTCAGACAGGGTCTCCCTTCATGGTGGAGGCTGGCCTTGAACTCACTATGTAGTCCATGCTGGCCTTAAACTCGAAGTGATCCTCCTGCTTCAGCCTCGCAAGTGCTGGGATTATAGCCATGTGCCATCACACCCAAGCCCATATTTTTATTAGTCCATATTGGTTATACAGATTAATGGTTTCATTTGGTAGGTTTGTATATTCATATAACATACTTTAATCATCCTCCCAACCCCCTCCTCACTCTGCATACCTACTTTCACATGTTTTTGTGGGGTATTAATGTGTAAAATGTATTTTGAGCATATTCACGCCCTATTACCTGCTCTTGTGCCCCATCTTCCTCCTCTTTCCTCTTGTCTAACAGTAGTCTCCTTTCTACTTTATCTTTTTTAGATTTCACATATTAAGGAGAACATGTTATACTTGTTTTTCTGAGTCTGGCTTATTTTGCTTGACATGAGGATCTCCAGATCTATCCATTTTTCTTCAGATGACAAAATTTCATTCTTGTGGCAGAATAATACTCCATTATGTATTTATTTTCTTTACCCATTCATCCTAGGTGTTGATGGGCACCTAGGCTGGTTCTAGATCTTGGCTCTTCTATATTGTGCCAGAATAAATACGGGTACTCAAGTATCCCTGTGGAATGCCGACTTCAATTCTTTCAGATGTATACCAAGGTATACCTGGATCATGGTAACTACACTAATTTACATTCCCACCAGCAGTGTAAAAGGATTCCTTTTTCCCTACCTTTACCAGCATTTACTGTTTTTTTTTTTTGTATTCTTGATAATAGCCATTCTGATAAGTAAGATGGAATTTCAATGTTGTTTTGATTTGAATCTCCCTAACGGCTAAACATGTTGAACATTTTTTTCACATATTATTGGTCATCTGTACTTCTTTTGAGAAATGTCTGTTCAATTCTTTTGCCCATTTTTATTGATTGGGCTAACTGATGTTTTGGTGTTAAATTTTTTGAGTTCTTGATATATCCTAGATGTTAATCCTCTGTTGGAAGAGTAACTGGCAAAGATTTTCTCCCATTTTGTAAGCTGTCTCTTCATTCTGTTGTTTCCCTTACTAAGCGGAAACTTTTTAGGTTGATGTAGTCTCATTTGTTGATTCTTGCTATTATTCCCTGTGCTACTGGAGCTGGAAGGGAATTTCTTATCCCAGGGGACAGCATCCATCACTCATAGAGAAAAGAGCATTTTTGAGTGCAAGGCTGAAAGGTTTCATTTGAGGATGGCATATTTTCTGTAGGACTGCAACCAAATGACTAAACTGACCTCAGCTGCCACATCTGTAAAATGGGCACACAGTACCTGTACTATAGGGCTGTTGTGAGGATTGAATGAAATTTGTAAAGGACTTAGCCCATGGTAGGTATAAAATAGATACCTATTATGTAAGGCAAATATCCACATGGGAAGACACAAAGTTTTGAGTATGCTTTCATATAAGACACTCCTTATAGAATTTACTTGCTCCTTTATCATAAAAATTACTCATACATTGTATCATTATAATTTGTTTATCACTTCTATTCACCAATTGGTTGTGCCTGCCCTGAGGACAAAGATCTTGCCTAACAGTCTCTGTTTTCCATAAAACTAATCACATAGTAAACTCCTTAAATGTCTGCTAAATAGTTCAATGGGTATATCCTTTAGTTTAACTTTCCTCAAGTGCAGGACTTCTTGTGTGAGACAGGGTTGCACTCTAATTCAGGTTGGCCTCAAACTCAGGGTGATCCTCCTGCCTCAGCCTCCTGAATTCTAGGATTACAGGCATGTGCCACCATGCCTGGCAAGTGCATGATTAAGAAAGAGCCACATACCTTTAAACTATCAATGTTTTGCCTTTAACTTGATTATCTTAATAATCTAATTCGCACAATTCCTAAATTTTTATATTTTTAAGACCTATACTAGAGAGGAAAGGCCAAGAAAGAACATTTGTGGAATACCTATTATTTTGCAGACTTTGTGTCTTTATAATTTCATACTTACAAAATAGGAACTTTAATAACCATTTTGTCTGTGAATAAGCTACGGTTTCAGTTATACTCTCTGAGAATCCTTACTTCTTTCCATTACAGCACTTATCTCAGTTTATAGACTCAAGTGTGATTTTTCACCTAAATTCTGTCTTTCCACTACACTGTAATCTCCAACAAAGAAGAGATGAGTCTTCATTTTCTCAGGACAATGGTAGTAAGTCAGTATATAACAAGTCTTAGGGCCACACAGTAGGCGTACATAAACATTCAAAGAGTAGATAGATAAGTGAGGAATGAACATAGCAGCAGATGTCAAAGAAACCGGGCTCTTCACAGTGTTTAAATTCCATAGCCACCATTTTTACTTAGCATGAACTATACGCAAGGAGAAAAATTAGACCCTGTGGGAGTCTGTGGAGTTTCCTGTGTAATAAAAAAGCCTACTTGATTCATATTGCTGTAGCTATCATTAATAGAGTGTATTTACAATTGTGTGAACAAATCCCATTCCCTGTGACAAACACAGTCTATAGCGCCAGGCGTGGTGGCGCACGCCTGTAATCCCAGCACTCGGGAGACAGAGGCAGGAGGATCGTTGCGAGTTCGAGGCCACCCTGGGCTACAAAGTGAGCTCAAGGTCAGCCTGAACTGCATAGCGAGACCCTGTTTCAGAAAGACAAAAAAAAAAAAAAAGAAAAAAACAAATACAGTCTATAGACTAAATGGAAAAAAATGTAACATTTTATATGCTTCACGGTCGACAGTTACATTCTTGGAAATATATTTTTGACACTGAATTAATATTCCAACAAGAAATAACTCAAGAAGAACCTGTGACTGTATCTCCAGAAGTCTTTTGACTTTTGTCAGTGAACTGAATAGGGTACACAACCTATTTAAATGTAAATTTAAATAAATCATTTTCTTCGCCTCTCTGACCTCTTTGTTCCTTGAGATCCAGAAGGTGCAGGCTTGTACATACTGTTCTCCAACACACACATCTGTAGTGCTTGGGGTATTTGGGGTTTTGTTTTTAGCTTTACACAAGACTAAATCAAAGTATTTGAGGATTTAAATGTTCTATTTCCACAACTAAGGTGGAGGGGATGCTCTCTGGAAACAAAATTAGAAGAAACAGGCAAGGGTCCCATCCTCAACTGGGGACGCCGTTACTAGGCAACCCCTGTTGGCCTAAACTGCCGCCCAAGAGCCACTTCCCCCCCCCTCGTTACCAAGGAGATCGACGCCACTACTCAGCCCTACCGTAAACCTGTGCGCTCTTGCGACACCGCTGCGCCTGCCGCTGCGTGCGCGCCCTCTGCCCCTATCTCCACTCTACGCCCTGGCCGCCATTGCCTCGTGCCCGCGCCGGTCGGTTGGTGGCGCCTTTGTCCTACGGCGGGCGGGTGGGCTGAGGCGGAGGCTGCAGCGACAGGCCTGAGGCGAAGGAGTGGCCAGGAACCCGCCGCGCTGGTAGCGGTGAGTGCCCAGAAACGGTGGCCATCCGCGGAGGCGTAGGGCAGACGGGCAGGCGGTTGAGGGGAGGCTGAGGCTGAGGGCCCACTCGACGCGCGGCCGCGGCCTCTCCCCTCGGGTGCGCGCGGGGCTGCGCATGCCCGGTGCGGGGCGCGGCCGCCTCCGGCTCTCGTCAGGCCCAGGCTGGGCCTGGCGGGCGGCGGTTGGTGGGTTAGGGTCTGCGGCACCGCCCGTCTGTGCGAATCGTCCAGTAGAGCCCCCAAGGCTTTTCTCTAGGGCAGGGTCGCGCACCCCGCGCCCCCTTTCTCGAATCGGTGAGGTCGCTCGCCTGCGGGTTCTCAGCAAGTCGGTGGCGCAGGCGGGTTGGATTCGAACCCGCGTTGAAGCGGCCGGTCTCGCGGGCGTTCTCTCCCCGGCGTGCGGCGGTGTGCGGAGCGCTGTCCCCCGTCGCCGCTGCCTCGCGACCCCCTCGCGGCGTCCTCGATGTGACCCCTGGTCGTGTGCCATCCCGCCCCTGTAACTGACGCGGACCCCGGGCCCAGAGAAGAACCCCGGTCCGAGGTCGCCCGGAAACGAGTGACCGAGCCGGCGTCCAAACCAGCTGGCGTTCTGGGGTCCCGACGCGGGCACTCTCCGCTCCCCGGTAGCGGGCCAGGGGCTTTTCTCAGGGCGGCGATTGCATCTTTATGTCCGTGGGCCGCCTGTGCTGTTCACCAGGTCTCTTTCCTTTATTTTACCTCTCCTCCCTCAATACATTTGTTTAAAGCGGAAACTTCGGTCACAAACCTTATCATGGAAACCCAATTACTTTTCTGATGCTCATAAAAAATAAATGCTTGTCTATTAAAATAAACAGTGCGTCCTTGTTCCTCCTGAAGTTATTCTGCCTTCCACGCTTTGGGAAACGCTGTCCAAGGAGTACTGGGTTAAGTGTCCCTCTGCGTTTCATTGTGTGCACAGAATCTTTCTGCAGCATAGCAGGTCCTGTGAAATGCCCTGGGATCTTCAGGGATGAAAATTTCTGTGTAAACTTGCTCGTTGTCAACTGTTCTCGTGATTGACTTATAAACAGCAGTCCTGGGAAACTTGAAAAACGATCCACTCAAGTGCGTCCGATGTGCCTTCTCAGATTTCTTACTGTTTTGTGATGTGTTAGCCACCTGTCAGTTCCTTAAAGGATGTTTCTGAAGACGCTGTTGAAGCTCTCTTTGGATTTTGACAACTCTAATGGTTTTTTTTGGTATAAATCAGTCAAGAGTGTGAAAACTACCTTTGCGTCAACTTTTTGCAACCTAGTAAAGCCCAAATTTTGCATTGTGGGGATTGACTATCACTTGGCAGTTCGCTGTTGTCGATTTTTCCTTCATTCTAGTTTCTCTGCCCCTTCCCTCTCTGTCATCCTTCTAATAGTCTTTGAAACCTGTAACATGTTCTCTTAATCTAAAACATAGAAACACAAAAAAATAAATAAATAAAACATAGAAACACAGATTTTCCTTCTAGAATGTGGTAGAGAACCCATATTGCAAGGCTCAATGGAAAGAATTTTTCTAGATTCAGGCTGCTCCTCGTTGCATGCCTACAAGCACCACACGTTTAAAGGAGACTTATTTATAAATTAATAGTCTGTTCACAAGTTTTGTTAAGTGTGAGCAGATTTACTTAATTCATTGAAAGAAAACTCAGAAAGGTCAGCTAAGGCCATTCAGGCCTCCCCCACCATCACCACCACCACCACTACTAAAAACTGTGAAAACAAAACAAAAACTGTGTTTCTTAAAAAGGGAATAACTTATATGCTATCTTGTAAATATAATAGAGTAGAGCTTACTTAAGGCAAAGGTGGTTTTCTTCAAATTCCTAAGTCTGTGTAGAGAAGGTAGGAAAACTTGATTTTACATAGAAGTCATTTTCATAATTTCATCAAATGGTGCCATCTACTAGTGCTCAAAAGCTAAAAATAAACATCTTCTGGAAAGGTTTTAAAAGTCTTTTGAGACTTTGATGGTTTGAAACTTCATTTTCAAATAACCATTGCAGGCATTCCACGTCTGTGCCTGTAGATGGCAGTGCTTTTGTGAGCTTGTTACTACTCAGAATTATTGGAGTTTAGTTGTGCTTTTTAGAAATGGAAAACCTTAAGGTAGGGAGCATGGCCAGGCATGGTGGTACACACCTGCAATCCCAGCTACTCAGGTGCTAAAGCGGAAGGATCATAAGTTTGGGACTAGCCTAAACAATTTAGCAAGATGCTATCTCAACACCGCCCTCCACCCCCAAAAGGTAAACCTTTGGAGGAAATATATTTAACTTTTTACTCCCTTCAGTTTACATTATTCTCCTGTTTGAGTCTCCATAGGAACATGTAGTTAGTCTACTCCTTAACTCAGTGTTACCCTGACTAGTATAGTAACAGTAACATACCCCTAGCCATGCTTACGATAAATACCAATTCATTTGCTCCTACCAATCATCCTGTACAATAGGTAGACTAGTATTACATGTTTTGTGCACATAAGGAACTACAGCTCAAAGAAGTTAGATTTCTTGCCCAAGAACATGTAGTTAATAGAACCCATTCAAGCTGTTTTGGAGATTAAAGATTTTGTGATCAAGCAAAATTGGGAAATGAGGTACAGTGGTGTCATTATTCTACAATTTCTGAGAGATTTTTATGTGCTAAACATGCACAGTGTAGATGCCCAAAAGAGGAGCAGTTCATTATGCGTTCTCACACCATGGTCCCATGAACATCTCGAGGTGATAGCATACCCCCAAACTGATTACTTTTTCTCCTACACTGTTTCCTCTTTGTACCATGCGTTTTATTAGCAGGGTTAACTGCTACTAAAGGAGTTAAAAGGCCAGTGTCTAACAAAAAATAATCCTCATTAATGAGAGGCATTAATTAAAGGAATTATGTAAAGCTACTGTCTGAAGCAGCAGAAACATTTGGGAAGTATACTGGCAGCTAAATGTATAATACTAGCATACCTGCTGCTTTTGAAATGGTGGCTTTATTACCACTAAATATCAATATTTATAAGGATGGTCATTTTCATGCTTTATCCATCACTAAAAGTAAGAGCTAATAGGCCAACTGGACCAATTTTATGTTAAGAACATAAATTCTCTCATAAGAATCAGAACTTTTTCTGGACCATAGGCTGGGCTCGTTCCATTTATTTCATATTCAAAACATTGTTAACTGCTGGGCTTGGTAGTGCCTGCCTGTAATCCTAGCACCTGGGAGGCTGAGGCAGGAAAATTGATTGGTATTTGAGGCTAGCCTGGGCTACAGAGTGAGTTCAAGGCCAGCCTGAACTACATAGTGTGACCTTGTCAGAAAACAAACAAAAAAACCCCGCACTTTGACTTAAATATTAGGTGCCTTTAGGCAAGAACTGTGCAGTTTAAATCACGTTGGAGAAATGCGGTATTTTCAGCGTTAGTGTCCATGGTTTGTCTCTGGAATGATCGGACTGCTGACGATTAGGTTGGTCCTGCAGCTAATGGACAAAATACTGAGAATTTTGAATTATAAGTAATTTGATTTTGAGTACATTTCATTGTCCATTTGGAGAGGGAAATAGTAATATATTTAGGATGAAGTGATGTTTGTTTTTAATCTTTTAAAACTATTTCTGATATCCAAAAGAAAAAATTAGGAAAACAACATTCTCATAACCCTTAAAACTAGCTATAAATGTTTAACTGAACCTTTTTCAGCCTTTGGGAAATTTATTCTTAAGATTGCATTTATCAAAATCTGATCCCTGTATTGGACATATATAGCTCAACTGTAGAACACTTGCCTAGCATGTGTGAAGCCCTGGGTTCAGTTCTCACCACTGTAAATAAATATATATATTCTGGTCCCAAAGAAACTAAATCAGAGTCACCAGAACAAGTTGAAGGTTCAGATTCTTAGATGCACTTCCCTATCCTTCTCTTCCAACTGGCTAGTCTTTGGAGGTGGGATCCAGGGAATCTGCCTTTCAAAAGCCAGTTGGAGAGCAGCTAATATAGTACTTTTTTAAAAAAGGAGTTTTCACTGGAAATAGAAGGTTAAAGCAGATTCTAGAACTAATCTAGTCATATCCCAAATTACTAATTGTCATTGACAGCTGTGCTTTATTGCTGGCTCTGTTTTAAGCAAGATCTTAACTGTAAAATGTTTTTGGGTTCATTGTTTAAACTAGATCACCTTTTGGCCTTTTAACTAAAATCAAGTGCATAGTTTGAAGTAGAGATGATAGAAATACTTCGAATTATCTGAAGAGCTTTTATTATTAGAATTCCTTCCATTCACATCATTAGAATGCTTTTACCTCTTCAGAGCAAAGAAAGCATATCTACCAAGGTCCCATAATCTGCTTATTAACTTTTGATTTGTTCCACTTTGCTTTTAGTGGTGTAAATATGAAATTATGTGTGGTCGTTTTTCCCTTTTGGCAAAGATTTGCATTTAGATATGAAAACAGTGCTTCAAGGAAGAAGCAAGACTTCTGCCCCTAGGAGCACAGTACTGCTAATTTTGGCAATTTGCCCTTCGTGAACCAGAAATAGTGGATCCTGTGCTATCAAAAAATGATAGTCTCAGCTGGGTGTGGAGCACACACTTATAATTCCAGCCTCTTGGGAGGCTGAGGCAGAAGGACTGAGAAACATGGTAAAATCCTGTTTCAAAAAATTAAAAGAAGTATGAATGTAGTTCAGTGGTAGAGTGCCCAGGTTTAATTCCTAATGCACGAAAAGTCTCAGTAGTGTTTTTCTTGTCTTTTTTTTTTTTCCTTGTCTTTCTATAAGTAGGTAATTGAAAGAAGCCTAACTCTTCAACTTTTTAAATGATCAAATGAAATGAAAGAAGTGATAGTCACACACTGTTCCTGTGGAAGGAGAACAGTGACCTTAAAATTGCATATTATTGCTGGGCATGTTGGTGCACATCTGTAATCCCAGCACTCCAGAAGCTGAGATACGAGATTGCTTGGAATTCCAGGCCAGCCTGGGCTATGTAGTGAACTCAAGACCAGCCTGAGCTACACAGCGAGACCCTATCTCAAATAAATAAATAAAATGCATATTATTTTTATTATTATTATTAACCTTAGCAGTCTGGAAACTTGGGTTGATGAATGCATTTGCTTTGGAGGGAACAGTGTAGTTCTACTGTTTATACTATTTTCAGGGATAATAAAGATGTCTGAAATACAGGGCCTCAGTGTGTGATATGTTATGGTGTATGTGCTAAAGGAATAGATTCAATAGAGTAGTCCGTCCCAAATATCTACAAGAAGTTTGTTGAAATACAGATTCTTAGGGTCAATACTTACATTCTGTGAGTTTGAGAGAGACTGGAAATTTGATTTTTAACTGTCTTCTAGGTGGTGCTGATATACCCACACACATACACACAAAAATGGGAACTTGTTTAATGGTTATAGAGTTCGTTTTATAAAATGAAAAAGTGGTGGAGCACTGTTGCACAGCAATGTGGACATACTTGACACTACTGAACTGTACACCAAAAAAATATTTAAGATACTTTTTTACTTGTCCCTTCTTTCCTTTCCCCCTCCCTCTCCCTTGTTCCCCTTCTTATTTGAACATTTTTTCCCATTTCCCAGTATCTGTTATATATTTTGATCTTTATTTACACTTTTGGTTTCTCACACCAGAGAAACAATGTGATAATTAAACATGTGTCCAGTTTATTTCACTTAAAAGTATGGTCTCCAAAAAAGACAGAATAAAAGGAAAGAAATGGAAACAAAAGATTTGTAATTAAACAGGAAGAAGGGTTGAAGGGAGGAGAGGAAAATGGAAAAAAAAAGAAGCAAGATATATCATGTACAGGTACAAATTCCCTATGATGTTATCATTATGTAGATCTAAAATGTACCAACAAAATGTTTAGAAATGGGGGGAAAAAAAACCTAAGATAGCTGGGAATGTATTGCTCAGTGGTAAGGTGCTTGCCTAGCATTCTTGAAGCCCTGGGTTCTAACTCTAGCACTAGGAGGGAGGGAAGAAAGGAAAAATGGTAAATTTTTGTTAGCTGTTTTATTCTACAGTTTTTGAAAGGATATTAAGAAAATGAGTGTTTTGTTTTTATTTCTGAACAGTGGATTGTATTAACAGATTGTTGGCTATTAATTACTGGCTCTTCTGGCCACCTATCTGTCCATTTTATATATCTTTCTTGAAAGTAAAATTATGACCTTTCTGTAATTTCCTTCAGCCTGTTGCATCAGTGTCATATCAATGGTCTTTGAAGAGCATTACTATCATGGGTAATATTTTCAGTGTCTTAGGTTTAAATGCTTTCGCCTTTATAGGGGGATCTCTGTTAATTTGACTTTGTTTATGGCAGTTCATAACATCCTTCCCAGTCCTCATACCACCAATTTCTTCCTTTTCCTAGCAAAGTGCAAAAGGTGAATCAGTGAAACAATGTACTAATTATAAGCTATCTTTTTCAAGTTCATTAGCTTAGTTTACTAAGGAACACTAAATTCTCTATTTGTACAATTTAGTTGAAACTTTTAGCTCAGACTTTTACTAGTTTAGGTTAGTTTAACCTTTGTGAATCCAAATTAATTTTTTCTCTTAGCTGATTTTCCCCTTAAATGAACACGGATAAAAGAGCTATCTGTTTTATCCAGAAGGAAATATAGAGTCAGAGAAATCATAAGACTTGACTAAACCCTCAGAGTAGGGCTTCAGCTCAGATTTGTTGATCTCTAGCCAAGTATTCTTTCCTTAAAAGAAGAAAAAGGGCACTGTGTTAAGTGAAATAAGCCAGGCAGAAAGACAAAAACTGTAGATCCTCACTTATATGTGGACTCTAAAGCAAAAAAATTCTTTGAATTGGAGAGTAGAATGGTCATTACCACAGCCTGAAGGTTGGGGAAATGATGGTCAAAGGGTAGAAAAGCTGCAGTGAAACAGGAGAAATAAATGATAAGTATGTGAAATGATGGGTGGTAATTAACTTGATTTAATTATTCTACACCCAGTGTGTGTTTCTCATAACATCACTGGGTACCTCATAATTATATATGATCATAATTTGTCAAAAATAAATTTAAAAGTTGAACTAAAAAGGGGGTGTGTGGCTTGCTTAGTGTGCTCAAGGCACTGGATTCTATCCCCTGTATAGCAAAAGAACAAGCAGGAAGAAAAAGGGCAGAAAATTAAAATTAATGTTGATAGAGAATTTTTTTAACAATCATTTTTATCTGAAATGTTGAAGTGAATAGAATGTCAGTAGCCAAAACCAGAAACACTGTATTTTAAGGTGATAGAAATTGAAGTGGTAATTGAATTAGTAGATCCACCCTTACTGAGTTATCTGTAAGCTATTTAACATTGAAGTGTTTAGTGTAGAGTGACTTTGCCATGTTCTGGCAGCATTTGGTTAGCAAGTACTAGCAGGAATGTTCTGAATGGAAGCCGTGTGTTTGCACTCCCTGGGGAGTGGAGCATAGCATAATTTAAGTACTTTACATGAGAAGGACTGGGTTTGAATACCAGCTCTCCTTCCTAATGATAGTGTGGCCGCAGATAAATTATTTAATTTACCTGTCAGAGTTCCTCATTTACAAAATAGGTATAATCATACTTACCTCCAGGAGTTGTAAAGATTGAGTGAAATAACATACATAATGTTCATAGGCCCAGGAACAGAGAAAGCATTTTGTAAATGTAAGTTATTGCTTCTCCATCCCTGTTCCGAGGAATATTATGCTAATACAGTTGAAGTTATAGAAAACATTTAATTAGAGAATTAAATAGATAATCAAATATAAGAGAATGTGTAGTATTCAAAGTGAGTTAGATTAAAAGCTGATTTAGAAACCAAGCAAGCATAACATTTTCTTATCCCTGGCTTATTACAGTATAATGAATTGCAGTGTTCCTCATATTATGATGTATCATCCAAGTCATCTTCGTGAATATAGTTTGAAAAGTCCTGTCATTTACCCCCTCCTAAGTTGGGAAATTTTATGTGTGGTAGCTGCTGTCTTGTCAGTGGTTTCTTCCAAATGGCATTATCTTTATGAAATTTCAGTTTCGTCATTCCTAGTTATTACTGGTTTCCAGCTAAGGCTTTTGGGTGGTTTTATTTTATTTGTAAGCACTTATTGAAATTGTGTAGGCTTCTGGATTCTTTCAGCAGCCAGTAGTGATAACTGTCACTAAGTATTGTGGTTCATACTGTTACTTTCATCCTCATTGTTTTCCATTGTGGTAGCCTGTAAAGTATAAAATCTGGCTTTAAGATGAAAAGAATTGTTTTATGATGACAGGTAAAAGGTAAAGCAAAGCAGTTCTTGGTACTATGAATGAAACATGTATTTTTATTTATAACATTTTTCAAGAACCGTTGTGTGAACCCTGTCTGACATACTAAAATAAAATTGTAGCTTAGGTACTGTGTCTGTTTGGGAGTTCTTTGCCCCATTCTTTTAAGGTTTAAAAATGGGTCTGCCGCTTGCTGTCTTAACACCATGCTTTCTAGATTACTGTGTTTTCCCAGTTTTTCTCTTTTTATGTAAATCCCTTGAGCTGGTACTATTTTATTTGATTTAAAAATCCTTAATTGAAAGTGCTTTTAACTTGAAGTTTTCAGAAGACCACTTAGAAATTAAAGGGTTTTTTCTGGCCATGCTTTAGCATCTCATAGTGGTGATAATGATTTTGAATGACATTCTTATTGCTAATATAATTACCAAAGTATAGAAATACCAACCAAGCTAAAGTCGAGAAGACACTGAGACTGTCTTTGGGTCTTAGAGGCAGTGGAGCCAGGATAAGGTGTACCAGAAGGGGAAAGAAGTACCGTTTCCTCTTTATATGCAAAGGAGATATTACATCTCTTTTTAGAAACATTCCCAAGTTGCCACTGACTTGTTGATTAATTTCTCTCCTGTTACAGTTCTCCATCTGATGTTCAGAAAGATCTTCAAATTGCATTCTCAAAGAAAAACTTACTCCTGCCTCCAATTAACAGGAATTCAGAGGCTTTCCAAAAGTTATGTGCACGCATGTATTAGCACTTTTGTGTATGAGGATTGGTGGTAATGGTGGTTGTATGTTTGCAACTCTTACTGAAAACCTCCCAACGCTGCTTTACCCCAGGGAAGTCATCTTGGATAAAGATGAATTTGTTAAAAATTTCCAGGTCTTGGGAGGGAGCTGTAGCTCAGTGGTAGAATGCTTACCTAGCACACACAAGCTTGGGTTCAGTCCCTAGCATTGCCAAAAGGGGAGGGGAAGTCCAAGTCTCATTTTCTCCATATCTCAGCCAGGTTTAAGGAGCTCATAAATAAAAATAAGTAGTCAGCATACCATACTAAAAGTGTGCTGATCTCTAAAATGAAGAAAATGGTAAGAAATTTCTCTTTTTGCAAAAGAAACATAAGCCACAACATCCAAATATGTAATTGCTTTAGGCTACCCAGTAACAATAGGCAGTCAAGTTTAGTTTAAAATACAATCTTAGCCACACGTGGTGATGCACACCTATAAGTCCACTGTGAAGGCTGAGCCGGAATGATCACTGTGAGTTTGAAGCTCAATTACATAATGAGACCCTATATCAAAAAAACAAAAAAAAAGTAAAAAGTACAATCTTAACTGTTATTTAAGCTTTCAAGTAATTGCAAAAAATTTTTAACCAAGTTCAAAATAAAATATTTACCTCCTGCATTCTACCTGGAAACAGTTTTATAAAGGTACATAATATATAGACACTTGGTCTCCTCAGTCCTATAGGTAGGCACTCACAAAACTGGATACAGTGTAATACTTTTGTTCATATACTGAAGACACTTTATAGCATTAATATATATTTACCAATTAAAGTAGTACCCTATAGTCTCTACTCTTTTTTTTTATTGTCTATTCTTAAATGCTTGCCAAGTCTAGTTAATGTTTAAATGAGCTTTTATTTACAAGACTGTTTAATAATATATCAAATTGGGCCGGGGATATAGCTCAGTGGCACAAGCTCCTGCCTGGCAAGCGTAAGGTCCTGAGTTCCATTCCCGGTACCAAAATTTAAAAAA